CCCCCCAATTCCCACAGAGTTAAAACAGCAACCGGAGGCAAGCTACTAAGAGTAGCAGCACAACACAGCACTTTCCTGCGGCCTAGTCCACACTTAAGCGTTGCTGGCTTTGGCCAATGTAATTTTTAAAAACATTACCTTCTAAGTAGAACTTTAGCACGCGATTTCAGATGCTAAATTAGTGAGAAGCCCCTAGGATTAAATTTCCATCTAACATGGAACTACATTTTGGTCATTTTCCAAAAATGAAAGTCGGCCAGTGTCCTTGTTCTCCAAGTCTCTATATGGTCCGAATGGAGGGAGGGCAAAACACTTGAAAATGGAGACTTTTACTAATTTGCAGCGTGGAGCCCACTTGAATGATTATAGTCAGGCGTGATCACGAGGGAATTCTACTTTTGGTAACTCTCCTACCAGAGTGGTCTAACCATTACTACGAATACCGCATACGGCACTGAAAGGCCTCCGTACCAGTTGAGAGCTGCACCAGATGAAACACAGTGCATCACTGTGCCCAGCATGCCAGCAGCTGGGCGTTTCTCGTTCATGTGGTTACCCCTTGTGCTGGGCGCCTCATGCTTGTCAGCGCTCTGAGGCAGGGCACGGCCGGGCTGGTGGTGTCTCTTTTGTCAGTAGCAGTGACCTCTCTTAGAGCCGACACAGACCGGCCGTGTTTGCAATGTTCCGCTGCTGTATCAGGATGATAGAGTTTCTTGGCAGACATTCTTTCCACAGGAAGGACCCAAAGAATACCAGTTTGGGGATTTTTTTTTTTACATTCTCAATGCTCTTTTGAGATATGAGAGTGCTTAAACCGATCCTCCACCAGTGGGCTACACTGTCACTCACTTTTAATTATGACAATCATGTCATAGAGCAATGACTCTTCAAATAATTGCCTTGTGATCTCAATTAGGCATGCCTAAGCTACCAGCCGAAGATCTGAATCAGACACTACAGCCAGAAACATTCGATTCCGGTCACAGTGCTGTCTGTGGGAACAGGAAAATGACCCAGAAATCTGATTGCCAATCACCGCTCTCTCAGAGAACAGAGTAATAAGTGTGTAATAATGGGCTTTACTGTAATAAAACTCCCTTCAAATTTCCATGTTCAACAAAATCCTAAAATTATCAGGCCATTCAAAAGAGAAAAGCAAATGGGACTGCCGAATGAAAGCGTACGTAACTCAGTCGCTCTCTGGGCAGTAAGAACGGTTCCCCTCTGATAGTAGCCTGAATTCCCCCACTCAATAAAAGTGGACGGAGCACCCACCCCCTGCCAGAGGCTGGGCCTTCAGCAAGCAGAGAGGGAAGAGCGTGAGCTCAGAAGCAAGGCTGCAGACAGAGGACAAGTGGTGGCAGGTGGGTGTGTGACAGCAGGGGGCTTTCTCATGGCACCTCCCTGGACTGAAGGAGTCCACAGTGGGATTCCACATAATGCAGAACTGTGCTGTCCACTAGGGAGCAATTAGCCACACGGGGAAGGAAGTTCCCTTTTTAAAATGAAACGACATTTGGGATCAGGCTCACTAGCCAAGTTTACATACTCAACGGCTAGGGTCTGAGGTTAGTGGGTAACATATTGGATGGCACAAACATAAAGCACAGAAATCCCTGTGGATGGGCCAGTGCTCTACTGGGAAGCCTGACACTGAGCACCTTCCTTCTGCTCTGCCCACATCACTCCCATCTACTGCTTCTCTGGCCCTGATGGAAAATCTGAGTCTATGGCCTTTTGTTTTAGAGCATTTCAATTACTGTGGTTAAGAAATGATAATTCATAGGGGAGAAGTGATTGATCGCAGGACTGTGGTTTTCAGCACTATGAAATCCAGGCAGTCCCTGAATTATGAACAAGCCTTGAATTATCAGGTAGAGCTTGTATCTAATGTCAGTTAGCCAAACTGTTTGGCTTAGTACAAAATGTACCTATCTGTGCGCAAAACCACGGAACACTCCTGGATCCAGTAAAACATCTCTAACCTAACATCAGGAGCACCGGTGGGTTAGTGAGTTACACACCCGGCTACAGATCAGCAGTTCAACCCACACAAGAAAGATGAAACTTCCCGACATAAAGATTTACAGCTGCAGAAATCCATAGGGGGCACTTTTACTCATCCTATAGGGGCTCTCTAAGTGAGAATGGACTGTAGGCCGTGAATTAACATAATAATACAACAATACAAGTGGGGTTTTCAACGAGTCTATGGAGAATCTCCATTGTTTTTCATTCCATTTTACGAATTCTTTGTGGTCTCCCTATCATAATATTTTAATGGGTGTCAAAAAGTAGCCCTGTATCATTACAACCCACTGTGTACACCTCACATTTTACACATGAATAGCCTCTGTGAGTGCTGTATGCTAAGTCAGATGTTCTTAAGCCCAGGACTGCGGGACATCCAAGAGTCCATGAAAGCCTCTCTTTCTTCCTCCAATGCCCGCCCTGGCCCCATTCTTCTGCTGCTTCCCTATATGACAGGGATTCCAGGGCAGAAATGTTGATTTAAAGTACCTTGAATAACATGCACTTGAAATCATCCATTTACAAAAACCAAAGGCAGCATGTGCACCACCAACTCCAGACACACGGGTGCTTGATTCTGAGAGGCACAGGGCACCTGGACACACACACACACACACACACACACACACACACGCTTCCCAAACACATCAACTTCCGTTTAAGGGGGCAAAAATCAGCACATTTTTCAACACAAAATCACCCTGAACTGCCATTAAAGGCACATTCCCCGAAGATCTGCTACTGCATCATTTTTAAGCAACTACTATTTTGTTAAAATTAAAAGCAAAATTGGGTTACTACATGTAACCCAATGCAGTTCTGGACGTACTTGTAGCCATCTCTGATGAAAGTGGCTGCAGGTGGCATGGGCAGTTGTTCGATTTTAGGAGGAATTGCCCAGGAAGGCCGAAACAGACAGGCATCGGGTATCTTCAGAGGTAGCAGGCACTGGCTCGGCAACATCTTCAGTGGAGCAAACATGGAGGATCCCAGGAAAGGTTGAAAGGGCGGAACTCTGTGCACGTACGAAAAGTCCTGCAACAACAAAGTGGGCTCAGTGTGGACGCGGAGAAGCTCCTTCACTGTTGGCTGCCGGGAAGGAAACTAGTAGTCCACGGTCACAGAGTGCTATTGTGACAAGAGCCAAAAGACCTGATCCTAAAGGGAGGTCAAACTTATAAACAACCAAAAAAGACTCTATTTAATACTGTGGTTCTCAACCTTCCCAATGCCGCGACCCTTTCATACAGTTCCTCATGTTGTGGTAACCCCCAGCCATAAAATTATTTTCGTTGCTACTTCAAAAACCGTAATTTTGCTACTGTTATGAATCAGGTGACCCCTGTGAAAGAGTCGTTCAACCCCCAAAGGGGTCGCGACCCACAGGTTGAAGACCGCGGATTTAATACCTACCAACAGATGCACTGCCAAAAATATCAAATCTGCTGCTGTTTAATCAATTCCACATGACAGGGACCCTGTGTGACACAGTAGAACTGCCCACTAGGGTTTCCAAGGCTGGACTCTTAGCACTTTTTTTTTGTTGTAACTTTTTATCATGAGTTGGGTGAAGGTTTACAGTGCAAATCCATTTCCCATGAGCAAGTCACACACTTTTTGTTTCATGTCACTAGGCCCACTTCCTCCTTTGTCTAAGGTGACCAGATTTTAACACTGGTAAAGCAGGACACCATTGATAAAACTCATACCCTGGCGAAATAGCCACATGGCAGCCGAAAACCGTATACCCTAGCTTGTCGTGCATTCTTTCCAAAAATTGGGACTTTTTAAAAACGCCGCCGGACACAGGAAAAATTGTTAAAAAGCGGGACGTCTAGTCACCTTACCCTTGTTGTCTGCTATACTCTCTCTTTCTCCTCCTCTCCCAGTCTTTCTGAGTTGCAGGATTGCTCCGAGTCAGTGCAGTTTCTGAACCTTGTCCTTGCGGGAAGTCTGCCCGCGACCTCCATAGTTATTTAGTCCACGGGGTGTGTGTGTGTCCCCCCTCCCCTCCTATTACTGTTCTCTTTATACCTGTCTTGTTTGGCTGAAAATTGAGTCTCTTGGGGAAATTCCTCTCCAGGCCTCACGGGTGAGTACTGGCCATAACTTCAGCAATCTCACCGTCTCTATCTGACAAGGAAGCCAAGCCTCTAATCATTTTGAGTGGTTTCACAGTTCTCCAGGAACTTTCAGTTCTTTCCAGAGCGTTGTAGCAGTAGCCAGCCCCCATCTTGTTCTTCTGGTCGCAGGGTCGTGGTCATTGATGTGCACCTGTCCCACAGACTACCTGTTAACAGTTAACAGGTGCCCTTGATTTCCTTCACTCTTCCATCCTCCTCACAGGACAAGGATTAACCCAATAGTGGCTGCTTTGAGCTTTGAACACCCCAGTCACTACCCACCAAAGTAGGATGTAGAACATTATCTTTATGGACACCGTTATGCCAACTGACATTGGTGTCCTGAGACCATGGTCCCGAGCCCTCAGACACAGTGACTCATTTCCTGAGTTTGTTTTGTTGAAAAATAATTAAAACAAAACTCTGCACTCCCAAGGTTCCTTACATGATACACTCAAAACAAAAGATCCTTAGACACATCTATAATATGGCTTCTACATAAACCATTTTAAAGAAGTGTATGAACCAACTTGGAAGTCATTCTGGCATGGAAAAGTGAATACCGTGGCCTCTACCTTTATTTCCTCTGGCTTGGGGCTTCCTAAGCCGTCTTCTACTTCCATCTTGAATTCTGTGAGCTGTGTTGTTGAAACCATGCTGACCATAGGACTCTCCATCATGCCTAATGCTGTCACCGTCTCTGAATTGATGCCATCTTTATAATTCATCACAGGAGAGAAAGCAGGGTGCTGCTCCAAAGATGGGGGTGTGGGGAACATCCTCTGTAGGTCTGCAACTGCTAAAAGAGACAGAGAGGGGGAGGGGACATTTAGCGGGCAAGGGTTTTTTTTAAATGCCCAGTCCATAGGCAGGCACCCTAGCTGAGCCATGCTGATTGAGTGGTCAGATCAGTCACACTGAGCGAGACCAGTGAAAGCCTCTAAGGAGGTCACCAGCAGAAGCCTGCCATTCTGTGAAGGTGACCATCAGCTCTGATGCTTTATGCCCTAGCCTCACATGAATTATAAGAACCAAGTCTACAAGACTTTTTTTCCCTTCCTACAATTAGCTGGCTTGCAAGTCTGAGAAGAAGAATTATGCAGAGGTTGGAAACAATTAGATGGGGAAACCACTTTAACCAAAATTCTCTTCCTACTTAGCATTCAGTCTGAGGTACTCGGAATAACTGAAACAATGTTCCATAGCAAATGACCCAGTAAACCTACCAACGCCACCACCAGGCATTTATATGACGGACAAGAAAAAGAGCACGTTATGAAGGCAAAAATGATCATTGAGAAGTAGGAGAGTTACCTTGTCTGGGTGACAAGTCCCCTGCACTCACAGCTGTTGTTTTAGGGACAATCTTCTGGATGGACATGAAAATGAAACTCCCTATTTAGAGTAAATCTATCGAGAACCAAAGCACATGTATTGAAAACTCACTATTTCCAGATGTGTTTTAGGAACACTTAGAACAGTGGTTCTCATAGAGCTGAAGTGGATGACATCATAGTTTCTCTCGAAGAAGCCAGCTCCCACCACAGGGACACGGAACAGAAGGCAAGTCTGGCCACTAGGGGGTGTCTTGTGCAGCAAGCTGACAGGTTTGGAGCACAAAAGGAAGCTGGTGATTTGGAACCTCGATTGTGCCCCATTCGCCCATCGTGCTGCTATTTCTAGCAACTTCAACATTTGCGCAGCCCAAAAATAACCACCGGGTAGACTAATATCTGCGTCTAGTTGTGAATCAAAAACGAATAAAGAATAACTGTGCCATTCCCTGCCTTAGGCAGAGCAGCACACACTGAAGGAGCTGGCTTCATCCCTGCCAGGTCAACATGAGTCCCTTTCGTCTAAAGGGCAGGTAGGAGGCTAGGAGAGGAGGAGTGGAAACAGGAAGCACTGGGAGGAAGAGGAATAAAAGGGGCACTTGGAGGGGTTGGCACTGGATGAGTGGACACAAAATGTGAGAATGCTGTTGGATGTGAAATTGATACCCTGCTCTGTGAACCTTCACCTAATGCACAGTAAAAGTTTAATTAAATAAGTAAGAAGGAAAATGAGCTGATTCCGGGAACCCAAGAGGCAAGCGAATTTTGGGAATGATGAGGGCAACAAATGTATAGATGTGCTCTACACAATTGATCTATGTATTGTGATGAATTGTATGAGCCCCAATAAATTGATTTTAAAAAAAAGTAAGAAGGAAGGCTTAGGCAGGTGTGTGTGATTCTCGTCAGGGTTCTATCGTTTCTTTTTGTGAGGAGCAGGGGAAGAGCTTCCAAGCAGCTCAGGGAGGGAAGGTGCAATAAGAGGCACACCCTCTGCATGAGGTGGTCTGCACCATGCCCCCCGCTCAGCGATCGAGACTCTCCTGGAACCTGCTGCCTCTTCTGGCCGCAGCACCCAGATGTGAGCTGGAGGAGGACTGTCAGGTAGGAAGGGTTCCTTCCAGGTCTCAACTTCCACCAGAGCAGCTCTCTGCTGTTCTTTCTAAGGTAGGAGTGGGCGGGAGACTCCATTCGACAAAACCCTGCTGCTGCCCAAGAGATTACAAGCCCAAGGTGACTTGGAAGGCACCTTTCATGATGTGGGAACATTCTACCCTTAAGAAAATGGCAATTTGTACAACCAAGGATACCACCTGAAAGGTGGAAATGAATCCCTCGGTCGCTGGACCCCAGACCACAGGGACCCAAAGTGACCTAATGGAACCTAACAACAACAAGACAAGGAGACAACAGGCCCAACACATCTGTCTGTGAGGGATGCTGCCAGAAAGCCCCTTAGAAGCAAGGACGATGAGACGTCATCTCACACCTGGTGGACATGTCATCAGGAGGAACCATCCCTGGAAAAGGACACCATGCTTGGTAGAGGGTTCGTGGGAAAGAGAAAGCCCCTTAACAAGACGGATTGGTGCAGTGGAGGCAACGGGACTCAAGTGCAGCAACCACCGTGAAGATGGTGCAGGACCAGGTCGGGTTTGCTTCTGTTACTTATGCCGCTTCGAGTCCGAACCAAGTCGACAATGCCTAACAACAACGACAACAAAAAGAATACCAGGTGAACCAAGCCAAGCGTGCAGCTCTCGGAGAACCGTTTGTGACACTCTATTAACTGATAGATTCTGAAGTCGGAAAGCAAGTCCTTCAATGTAGGAGCGACATTTTTTTCCCCCTCGAAAACAAAGCTGAAGATGTTGGTATACAATTACATTACACGTGGAATGCACCACCATCTGCACCCTTTAGTTTCCCAAGCCAAGGAGCAGCTGCTAGTCAGTTTTATCATAGAATGAATTGAGAAGTACCATGTCAGCTATAATTCCATTTTAAAAAATCTTCAAACTCACATCTTTGGGCAAGAAGTAACTTGGTAATGGAAGCAGCGATACAAGGGTAGAGGGAAGCTTGGGGGAGAAAGGGGGAACCGATCTCAATGACTGACATCTAAGGTCCCACGCCCCACCCCCACCCCAGGGAGACGAATAACAAAAATGTGAATCAAGGGAGACAGCGGACGATATAAGATATAATAATAATATATAATTTATCAAGGGTTCACAAGGGTAGGAGCGGGAGGGAGGGAGGGAAAAAGAGGAGCTGATACCAATAGCTCAAGTAAAAGAAAATGTTTTGAAAAGGATGATGGCAACCTAAGTAGTGTGTGCTTGATACAATTGATGTATGGATTGTTGTAAGAGCCCTCAATAAAATGATTAAAAAAAGAAGTAGTAATTTGGATATACTTTCTTAGATTTAAAACAAGTGTCAGCACAGTCTTTACTTTGCTTCAATAGTATTCTTGCTAACGTTAAGAAATCTAACAACAGAAATAAACCAAACTCATTGCCATCGAGTTCATGCCAACTCCTAGTGATCCCAGAGGACAGGGTAGAGCTGTCCTGTGAGTTTCTGAAACTATAACTTTTTACGGGAGTAGAAAGCCCCATCTTTCTCCTATGGAGCGGTTGATATTTTTGAATTGCTGACCTTATGGATCAAAGCCCAATGAGTAACCACTACGGCACCAGGGCTCCTAACGACAAAAACAGTCTCCTTAGTTTTCAATTTTCCGCCAAAAATTGTGCATGGCACAGCACAATGTCTACTAAGTCATGAGTCCTCACTCATTAGGCCGGCCTCCAAATTCTGGTTTGACTGGGAAGAGATGGAAACATGGCTAAGCTTCAGGGAATTTCTGAAAAGAGATGACTCAAAACATGTTTTGAGATGATCAAAGGGAATTAGACTCCACGTTGTGGGGGCAGAGTCAGAAGGCCAGAAAATATCTTTGGTCCCCCCCAAAGTAAAAAAGCATGGTTTGCCTATTGCTTGTCTTCCAAAACATGACCCAGGAAAGGAGAGGCAGACACCGAAATGTACTGCACTGAGTCGTATGCCCACAGTGCTCTGCCACCTCATACACCATCTGTCTGGTCAGTCTCCTACACTCTTACTCGATGTAAACAGGCATATCAGAACTGACACCGCCACCTCCGCCCACGACATGAGCACCTGGCAGAGGGTCCTGCAAACAGTAGGTGTGCTTACAGATTACGTAAATGAAGTGAACACAAAGTCCAACCCATAAACAAATGGCTAACAACAAAACCTGAGAAAATGGCACTTCCATTTTTGTGACTTTACCATATGCCATCACAGGACCTACACTGGCAGCCTGGATGCTCGTGGGGTACCGCCTGCTTATGGACTGTTGCCTCATTTCTGGTCACAAGTAAACCAACAGGGATGTGCACTGCCCAACACACCATTCACCAGCCACTGAAGGGAAAGCAGGCTGAAAAGTTAGTACCAACAGAATGTAAGTTATCGCAACTCATTTCATATGGATTAGGTGCAGAAAGAATGTTTAAATGAACTTTCTCCATTCCTTTTGCTTCTTTAATGTGCCTACTAGACAGCTGAACAATGTAAGTGACTCTCGCCTATGGCTCATAATTGTGTTCACGGTGGACAGTGCTGTGCCAGACAGACAGTACATTCTACAATATGTCTGTCTTCCCAACTCAGTCTCCAATAAAGCTGCTGCAAGACACGAAAACTTCTGGCAGGAACTTTTCCATTGTGGTTTCTGCAGAGGACATACTGCATGGGTCTACGTGTAAATACACACACACTTTGTAGAAATTTAAAAGATGCTCTTGATACCTGTATACCAGAGTTTTCTTGATGCCATATTCCAAATGTATCTATTTCTATGATTAGTACACCTTATGGGAGCCCTGGTGGCAGGGTCAGCAGTTCAAAACCACCAGCAGCTCCTCAGGAGAAAGACAGGCCTTGCTACTCCCATAAGGAGTTAGAATCTGGGAAACTCACAGGGGCAGTTCTACCCTGTCCTACAGGGTCGCTACGAATCAGCACCGACTTCCTGGTCGTGATACTCCAGGATGAAAAGTTTGGCAGCTTTTCTCTTAGAAACAATTCTTATGCATAGGCCTGAGAAGGGAGGGCAATGACACTGACCAGCAGCATGGTTGGTGAGTGACTAATCTTGGACAGGGAAGAACGTTTAACACTGCTATGTGTTGTTCAAGCCCAAGAGGGTGGAGGGCTAGCCAGTGCACTTCAGTGTGGAGAAGAAACTGCCCATCTGGCCTAGCCCATGTTATCTACTTCCACACTGGTTTTTCTCATCTGTGAGCTCCATGTTTATAAAATTCTGCAAGGAAGACTAATACAAAAAAAAAGAAGAAGAAAGCAAGAAAAGAAAAATGTGTAATTTTAAAAAATATATATATATATATAAAAAACACCCACCGCAACTATCATTACTCATTTTCATCCATGTCATGTTTGAGAAGGCTCTGCTTATTTTACAAACTATAGATCCACTAAAGCCGTCACAATCCAATCTGTCTACCTCACACTTCTACATGTGAGTAAATCAGCACCACATTTATGGGTTCGTGAAACTTTGTGACTCATCCTATGACGGGGTGGTTTTTCCCCTCAATTTGTTCTCATTACCAGCTGAAGTTAATGAGAAGGTATTACAGAATGATTTGCAATAGAATTATATTTCTGCTTCAGAGTATCCACATAAGCTGCCCTGACATCCTTTGCTGTTGGAGAATAATGTGGCTGCTTTGGGTAAAGAACAAAGCAGGAAAAAGATTCTTTCTCTTCTTGCCAGCACACATAATAAAAAACTAGTTGGTTTCAATATAAAAACACAAAAACTTCCAATGTGAATTCAAAAAAGGACTACAGAAAACTAATGTGCCTTATCCTTGTGTGAATTGTATGTATGAAAACTGAAACATTTTATATATTTTCATTACAGAATATTTTCTTCAACATGTATCCTACTAGCAAGGGGCAACCAGAAAAACAAACTGAGACGTGATCCTAAATTGTAAATGGACATTCTTAATTAGCAAGCAACGAGAAGGCATTCAAATGCCGACGCCCCCTCTAGGAGGTGGGGTCCCGTCACACACGCGTTCAAGCTCGTCCTGAGTATCGGTCCGAGGAAAGAGGCAACGCAGTGCTCTGGGAGCAGGCAACACCGAGCATGAGGAGACGGCCAGGCAAACCTCAGCCCGTTTGCTCCACTTACTTGGTGGGTATGGAACGGCGGTCCTTCCATCCTTCCCAAGGGGTCGGTCTTCGGTCCCAACCGTAGGCATTTTCGATGAGCGCAGTGCGGGTGATACAGCCTAAGAATGGATGATCAGTATTACAACAGAGCACACACTTGTATCTAAGGATGCCTCGTCACACTTAAAAAACAAAGCAGCCATGCTGCTGACACAGTGCTCTTGGTGGTAACAGGAGGAGATGGCTACAAGTCTATCAGGTGTGACAACAAGAGAGCTCAGGCTCTGTTCACAGACCTGGTTGGGACAGGGTGGGCCGTTAAAGCCGAGGCCGCAGACCGTAAGCAATGCTTTCCTCCCAGGCCGGAGGGTGACACCAGGGTGGTGCCTCCAGCCAAGCCTGGAGTCTGGTTGCTTTTCCTTCTGCTTAGAGGCAAGCAGCTCAGAGATGACCTCAAGCCCTCCAGAGTTTTTAATCTGTGCAGCATGGCAAACCAGGTATCCTCTGAACCGATTTACCATTCTTCCTGATAAAAAATAACCTTAATACTTCAAACTATGGAAACAGACATGAGGATCTTCTTCTCTGATATACTGAAAGTCCCTTACTAGACAGATTATCTTTTAAGAACTCAAATGAACTGACAAACACAAAAAATTAAGACAAAAGGTATTACAAATAGAGGCTAAATTTTATATATTTTACACTTTATAATAGCACAGAATTGAAATGTAAAATTGAGTTCAAAGCTATTCGTGGTGGAAACTTAGCCAAAAGCCAATTCTAGTTACTAGTAAGATGAAATTGCAAATGATTTAAGGGTAAACTATTCACTTGGCTAAATGCTAGGCTAGAAACCCAGCAAAGTAGAAATGCTTATTTCAGAGACGTAAAAAATAGATTTTAAACGTCCAGCCATCCTCTGCATGTTAACACTACTAAAAATACATTCTGGGACCTTAAATATTTAGTCCACCGGCTATTCACCATTTTCACAGAAGGTGACTACGATGGTTCAGAAGTGACCAATCAGAAGTAGCAACAGAGCCTGGGAGAGGCAATGGGCCACGCAGGACTGCTTACTCTGCAGCGGACCACGCCATACGCTTTCTCCTCCTCCCCATCTATGTCTTTGATTTGTGATAGCATTTTGTTTCATATTTAATTCCTACCATCCCTACAGAAGACCTATCCTAACCCTTAGGGTCATTAAGGCAATCCTCAGCAGTACAAAGCTTTAGAGACAGTCAAGCTCCCATAGGATCAGATCAACAATTGGAAAATTTGACATTCTCCCGCCCCATCGATCCTATCGTCATGTCCTTCTCCTCCCTGCACTAACTTCACACATTCACATCCCTTAATGTTTCAAAACACAACAAGGTTACCATACAGCCAGCCTGCTTTCTGAACTCAGCAGCTGCCCGTGGAGGCTGCTACAGGTAGGCAGTCTGACCACCAAAGGTCTGAGTTTGGCCCACAGCCTTCCGAACCACCTCCCTCCCCAGCATTAGAAAGTCAGGTCACCACCACCCCAAGCCTCTTCGTTGATTCCCCTTAACCAAGGCTTGAGGAGACCTCGGCCTAGACTGACCCCCTGCCTTCACTGAGCTCAGTCTCTCCACATTCCCAGCCTCATTGTTTGTGGCCATTATAGATTTATCTCCTTCTATGAGCCTATAAAATTATGGATATTACCTGGGAAGCAGATGTATTTAGTTTTATTATGAAATGGACCTTAGAAATGTGACTTCCTGTGTAGCCTTCATGCCTGGGCTTAAATTGTATGTTAATACTTAATACTCACAAACCAAGCTTCACATAAGCCTTCCCTGTCATTAGGAGCCTTGATGGCATAGTAGGTTCTTACTGGGCTGCTCACTGCAAGGTCATTCATTGCGACCCCACAGGACAGAGCAGAACTGCCCTTGTGGGTATCCCAGAATGTAATTCTTTGTACGAGTAGAAAGCCTCATCTTTCTCCCTCGGAGTGACTGGTGGTTTCAAACGGGTTTACCTTACAATCAGCAGCTTAACGCTTAAACCAGTATGACTGCCAGGGCCCCTCTCATCTCTAAGTTTCCATACAGAAATGGGTATTTATCCTATTTTTATGCAAATAGCACAAATTATGTGGGCTTTTTGCAAATTGTACAATCCCTTACATGTTCAGTTTCCTACACAGCTATGCACACAGTGTGTGGTATTTATACAGACACCGTTCTAGGTGGAAAACCCTCGCATATTCCCTAGGGAACAGCGTTGGTGCAGAGGATGAGGACACAGATTTCTGGACTCTTAGCCTAGCTGTGATCTAGGGAGTTGCAATTCTTCTCGTCACTTTAGTCACATGATGGCTGGTAGTCTGTGACTTACTTTAACACTATGTTCCTAAAAAGCATGTCTCGGACTTACATAAAAATTCTCACTCTGAAAACACAGACTGACTTTAAACTATTAGACAAAGGAAAAATACGTGGCATATTTCAAAATTGACTTATACCTATAGGGACCACAGAACCCATTTCTCTCGGCCCTATGATATTTAGAAGGATTTATTACAATAAGCAGGGAAAACTGCCATCTTTACCACAGAAATAACAATAATGAAAAAGGCCACCAACCAACGAGGTCAGCAGGTGTTAGCTGATAACTTTCAGAATGTTTTCAAAGTATACCACTACTTTTCTTTAAGAGCGCTCAAAATCTGAAGTGTTTCCCAACTCCAGTAGTCTAAACTCTTGAGGAAGCGCTGACAATGCCATCATGTCCTCTCTCGAAGGAGACCATTGTCCACGAAGGGATGGGAGACTCACCCCAAGTTCGTCGTCATCAGAATTATCAAAGATGTTGTCTAGGTCGTGCAGGGAAGGTGCCAAATCTGTCACCTGCGTAAGGCTACTGGGGCCAGCTCTGCCAGCAGCATTATCCTGCCGGACATCTGCGGGAAGAAGCAACATAGAACTGGGGTAAGTGGCTGTGCCCAGGGCTAAAGAGGAGAGGAGGACTGTGGCTTTCCTCCCTACAGTCTTTATTCAGTTTAGAGACTGTTACTTCCAAATGTGTTATCAGTTTTGAAAGCAACTGAGGAACACACTGAAAAATACACTACAGATGAGGTCAAGTTATTGGTACTACAGTAAGAAAATAATTTTAAATCGAGATGCAACTCCCTTGCATTTTATTTTAGCAACAATCCAAGTGAGGCAAATAATCGCGGTACACACCTGTTTTAGTAGCAGAACTGAAAATAGACATGGCATTTTTCCCATCAGGCACCGGCGTGGAATGACCTGGTGTAGTGACATCCTTGGTACCAAATCCATCCTCTGACTGTGTGATAAATTCAGCCAAACAAAACATATGAACACCAACCCAAAGTGTGGAAGATGTGGGAGAACACAAAGAATTAGAGGGCAGAATGGAACTTGTTATGAGCACAAGTATGATAAACCATGGTCTATGCAGCCAGAGGAGATCAAAGAGGCCCTTTGTGCTACACTGAAACAAACCACCGACTCCCCCTTGGGCCCTCAACCTGATGGGGCCCTCTGAGTGAATCAGATTTGATGCCCACATGGTACTGCAGGCACTTTTCTGCAGACTGGACATGGTGGTAAAAAGCTGCCTTTTCTAGTTGTTGTTTTTTTGTTTTGTTTTGTTTTCTAGTTTCTTAAACACAGAATGACGGCTCATGCTCTCAGGAGCTAAACCAGATCTCTGTCAAGCAGCACAAGAAACATTCCCTTCAACTAAACTGGTCTCCTTTAGAATCGTCTTCTTTCCTCTACTCTGAGGAACACTGCTTTAAATGCTCATTTCTTAGAATGTCTTAAAATCTAAGGCTGAAGACAGGAGATACCAACAGCACTGGTGTGTGTGACAATGGAGCCAGTACAACTAACACTGCAGTTTCCACATGGTGTGGATACTAATTTACAACTCTGCTCCGAATAGCAAACAGAGCAAGCAAGGGCTTGATAAAAGGCAGGTGGTGTCACCCTTTTTTCTTTGCATCCAGGAATTTTTGCATCATAAAGAGAGTAAGTAGGGAGCATAGGCCAACAAGAATTAGCATATGAGGAGGAGCATGCACTGGACGAGCTACAGCCTGGAGCATATGAGGCTTCATTTATGTTCGGCTGACTTTTCAACGAAGGTGAGCCATGACATAAAAAGGAACATCCGCTGTTCAATACAGTAGCACCAAGAGCATGGATATGGGGACAGAGCAATCAGGCCGGACGTGGTGTCCCCCAGGTTAGAAACCCACACGCTTGTGGGACACACTCTCTAGCTCAAAGGGTACCTTAGTCTTTTTCAGGGAGTCTTTCTCTGTCCCTTGCTTGCATTTCTTGTTGGCTGTAAAGATGTACTTTATGTCACCGTCCTCAAAGGTATATGGGTCATTGACTTCTCCCAAGCTGTCTCCAGGTGGCTGGGTGAGAGGCATCGGGTCAAGGAAGTGAAGCGGCTGCATCTGGGGCTGCTTGTCTCGCCAGAGTTTAAACCGTTTGTGAGGCTGTGCTAAGAGTCTGAAAGGGAAAACAACACATGCAGGCGTGAGCAGACAAACCAACCACACCAATTTAAACAAGCAGCCGCACATATGATTGAAAGCATTTACAGAGCTTAAACTGAAAAGCACATCTACTTAGCAATTTTCTTTGAGAGTTATATTCACAATTAAATACATCTCACTAAGCTTTGCCAAGAATGTATTTCCCCCACCCCACCCCGCCCATTTCCACAGGTTCTGGGGACATCGCGCCTAGGTTCAAACTCCCTCCGTGTTAGTTACTAACTGCATGACCTCAGTTTCTCAGCTATGAAATTAAGATAATAATATGTTGTGGTGAAGATTAAATGACATAATCCGTGTGAAGTGTTTAGAATGATGGGTGGCTCAAAAGTCCTATTACGTGTTTAGTAGTAGTACTAGAAGCACATTACTTACCTGAGTACACGCAGTCTTTCTCACAAGCATCAACCTACAAAACGGGTGCTGACAGAAACGTGCAAAGACTTACTACAGAAAGAACTAGAGTCTTTGATCGAAACAAGAGGAGGTGAAAAATAACACTACAGCAAAAAACGCCACAAGTGCCTTTTCAGGGCGCGGAGTAAAACAGCATGTGTGCTGGCCTCCTTAGAGGACAAAGCCTTGGGCTCTTGAGCACTGTCTACATGCGAGGGCTAGCAGGGGTCAGCAGAGAGACAGGAGGAACCCGGGTGGTGGACTGGGAGGCCCTGCCCTCCTCACCTTTGCAGCGCGGTGCTCTCAGAGGTCACCTCCATTTTGGCATCACATCTCTCACCCTGGAGCTCTGGAGGCCTGAACTCGGTGTCATCACTGGATGGGAGGCGGTAACTGTGCCACCGCTGAGCCGACGACTCCGGGTTCGAGGGCCTGATCCCACAATATAAGGCCGTCTCGCTGACCTCTGCCATCAGAGGCAGTCTTTGGCCTACGAGGACAGCTCTGTCATCCAGAGTAGCTAAGGGCTGGAGCTCTAGCACGTTTCCATAGAGGGCTGGGTTCACAGGGACAGGCGGTGGGTCCAAACTCTCCGTTTCCTGACCCCGTGGCTGCGGGCTGAGTGTTGGCGGCAGAGGGGAGATGGGGGAATGAGGGGAATCCATAGGATTCAGATTCATTTGCTTGCTTGTATTTCTGGAAGGCACGGCCATTTGCTTATCATACTTCCTACTGCTGGACACCTCTAAGGAGGAGTCTATCCCTGCCAGCCCCAGCTTCTGCCCTGCTGTATCCTGTTCCATGCATAACTCTTCGGCCACAGAGGGCCTGTGGTGAAATGGTACCAAGGGTCTCTTTTGCAACTTGTCTCCTTTTTCCTGCCTTTCTGCTGTTTTGTGCTTAGAAGAAGCAGGAGGCGGTAAAGATGAAGATGATGATGGTCCTGCACTGAACCCTGGTTGAGATGTTGTGGGAGGTCGGTTGGGTCCTACTGCACAACGTTTTAAAAGTTTATGCCTGAAATGGGAATGAAAACCAAGTCAGCAAATGCGCAGGTGAAAACAACTGTATCCTAACAGCAAGGGCGCGACAGCGCAGACAGGTCACGTCCACAGCAGATGTGCTAACACAGCTAAGCAAACTCCAGGTTTTAATTATTGGCTGAAAAGGGCAACACACTCCAATAGAAAGTGATGGATCCGCCACATACAAGTTAGCAGGTAATGGACAAATTTATCAATAAGGGAAAACTAATAATAGATTGCTAACTCCTGCACAATTACTGGTGGAAAAATTTCCCTAAATCTTTTCAACTTCTTGGGGTTCCCAGACAACCTATTCATTCATATTGTATCTGCGAACCAAAAATCCTGAGATTCTCAGGCCAGAATTGTTTTTTTTAAGTGCCATTTCTCTTTCAAACAACTCCAGCAACTCCGATCCCAGAATGACTTCTAATGGGCCATCCAACAGCTCCCTCGCAGAGTGCAGACCACGATGCTGGTCGGTCTGGAGAACAATGAACAGAAACTGGATCTACTACCAGCATCTAAGAATGAAGGAATGATAGGCAACTTTGGACCCAACACAGACATGTTCCAATGAGACCAGAGTGAAAAGTGGTGAGAGAAGATTAGGACAACACACATACAAAAATGCGCTCGAGCCATCGAAGCAGGATCATCAAGTCTGCTCACATCCTAACACACTTCTCGGCAAGCCCGAGTAAGAAATTGCTCAGTTGATGATGCCAAGGTTGAATCTGTACAACAAAGTTATGTAGCAGGTCAGCCAGATTCTCCCAACATATAAATCACTGCCAGGGAAAAACGCAAGCCTTTCTGCCGGTGGAGTAGTTGCTCTCCGAGGCCACCAGGGTGGCATTAAATTACTGCTGCGTTGCACTCAATGAGGCCCTAGTGGGCAGTAAAACGGATTTGTGTGGCATAATGGGAGGGTTTAGTGGGACAGCAGGATGGCCACCCCGGCCCATAAGACCATTAAATAGTGTGAGGAGTAGACCATTCCATAATGAGTTTGGTAATCCCACAGTAATCTCAAAACTCTCTTGCCAAAGTCTTTGCTACTCTTTTAAAAAAACGAAGCCTGACTTTGAAGAAGTTGTCATCGCTTCAGGATACTGACTGTCAGGCCTACGGTGTGCTGGAAGCCTCCAAGGCAGAGAGCCGCACTGCTCTGAGGGAGGCAGCTTATTTTTCACAAGCCTCTATTGTATCTTCGTGGGGTGTTTATTTTAGAACTTAAGCTTAAAAGTCTTTTGCATTCAACTTTCTGACTTGGATTTTCTTGGAGTGCATTTAACCTCATAGGCTCTTTGATAAATATTGCCTGGCAGTTGCTTCAAAGTTAGGATGTTTTGCAAGCGGCTAATCTTATCAAGTCAGTTTTCCAACTGTATTTAACAACCAGCTACACCATGGAATGGTTATCCTTCAGAAGACACAGGTAGCTAACAGCTACCCTGGCAAATCTCCACGCAGGGAAGGCTTTGGCTGCGGCACGCTGGGGGTGGGAAGGAGCCTGAGGCGGAGCCAACTTCTGTGGCATGGTGGCCAAGAGGAAGAAGAAAGTGGTATCTACGTAACGGACATCTCAGAGGCTAGCATTGCGGAAGGCAGTGACAGAGGAGAGCTACACAAAAAGGGAAAATCAAATCGGTGCCTCGTTTTTGGAGAATTAGGCACATCAAAATAAGAGAATTCTCAAATGCAACCTTTCCCCCTGCCAAACAACAAAACTGTAAGGCAAGAATTCAGGTTTAGAGATCAGGCATACAGAGCTGCAATAGGTATCTGGCGAGGAAATGTAGCAATAATCCCAAAGCACAAAGGCGAGGGCTTTCTCTGCTTAATTCCACTGAAAAGTATTCTAAGGGGGCTATGTGGTCAAAGGAGCTAACAGACATGTGATATAAACCAGTAAATAATTATTTTTTAAAGAGAAGAAAAAAATCTAGACCAAGAGAAAGAACAGAAAATTCAGTTGAAGGCACAAGTGAAGTTCCCTTCCACAGACGTGGTTCAAGGTGAGCCATGGTGGAACTGTGAACTTTTGAGAGGGAAATCAATTTCAGGTGACAAATACTCTTTATCCCACAATTCACAATGACAGAGACAAAAATGAAACAAATCTTTAACTGCAACATACGATTTTTGCCCCAAGACCAGAGAGAGATCCTCACACCCTCAAAGAAGGAACTCTAATGAGAAAACTTCAAATGCATCATCTCAGAAAAATCGATCCTGGGTTTTATTAGGTGGATAGTTATACCTCTCAAGCAGAGGCTGACTATCAAGGCGGGGTTTGGAAAAAAAGAATCAACTGAAGGGGAGGGTCAAAATTGTTGTACTGATTACAAGTTACAGTACTGTGTGTGTAACACACACACACACACCAACCACAAGAATCATGACCGTGCACTCTAACAGTCACTGGGGTCTGGGGAGTACTTTAAGGCTGACACTCACTTTAGAAGTTTCAGAATTCCAATAAACTCAGGACAGAGTACGATTCTTTACGACCACAAGGAGGAGTGAGTCGAGAAAATACTCTCAAAGAGTGCCAATCTTTCCTACAAAGTTTGGGGTGCTAGTCAAACACCCACATGAACAGGCAAGTGAAATACCATGACTACTGCAATTTGAACTTTTAGTGGGTGTTCTAAAATACCCATCTCAGTGATCAGAAAGCATCACCACTACCAACCCACAATGACAAAAAGTAAAACTACCACGGGTCTGTCTACTACAAATTCTATTTATCGCAAGCCAACCTGTTTTCAACATCTTGTCCATGTTGAAAGAGTTAGTCATTTAACAGAGATGGTCTTGTCAAAGTGATACCTTCATTGTTGTTGTTGTTTGTTTTTTAATGGAAAGATCATTTTACTGGGGACTCTTACAGCTCTTATAAGAAGATGCCTTTCTCTGAAGGAGCTAACCTGAAGAAACATGTGGGAGCAATCTGCTCCCAAGGCCAGTTGTCTACTAAGCCTCTTTTTGGATCCTGACAGCATTATGATACTATCTGCATACAAGAAAAGATTGGCCTTTTCCACTTCTACTTAGAGGAATAGGGGCATCTTTAAAAGAAGGAGAAAAAAACACACACACACACACACACACACACACAGAGTAAAGAAATGGTCTGATATGCCTGGAGAAGAGCCAACATTTACCATTTGTGGTGGAGTATAATTTCTTAATATGGCTCTTCTATCAAACACAGCAGAGAAGTGGAGCGCTACAGGATGAACAGCTGAAGGTGATGGAGAGGGGTCATGGTGGAGACCTAGAGCCCAACTGTGGATAACTGGACATTCCTGAGCAGAGGGGCTGCATGGAGGAGAAAATGCATCCAGGGGGCAGCTTAAGGCCGATGAAACACACATCCACTCCTCTAGTTCTTTAATCTTCTTCCCCCCTCTATTATGGTCTCAGTCCTACCTCACAAATCCCGATATTCCAGTGTACATACAGTGGCATAAAGACAAACCCCCTCAGAATCAGTAATGGGAGTAATGATTCCAGGAGGGGAGGGGAAGGGAAGAAGGAACAGATAGCAATGATGGCAGAATAACCCCCCTCAAGGGGGACGAATACAGGATAGTAGGTGAAGGGATAGAATGGGTGGTATAAGATATGTATAAATCATAATAACACATATTAAGGGTCTGCGGGGGTGAAAGGATGGGGGAGGGAGGGAGGGTGGGGAAAAATAAAAAGAGGATCTGATATCAAAGGTTTCAAGAAGAAAAATGTCTAGAATTTGTTAAAGCCTACAATTATACACGTCCGCTTAGAATAATGGATGTATGGATTGTTATAATATATGTAAGAGCCCCCAATAAAATGATTTTTTTAAGGGGTGGTGGGTAGAGGCATACATGAGATTGCCTTACGGTGCTAGGTCTTGGGTTGGTATGGCGTTGGACTCTCCTCTTCCCTGTGTAGCCTCAGGAGGTCAGCTGTGGCCTCCATGCTGTTTTCACACCAGTAATTATTCTAGCCACTACAGTTGTTCCATTTTGACTACTTACCTGGAACAAGAACAGCTAACTCTTTGGGTTGGATCTACAAAATCCCAAGTTGCAGGATTGTTAGCAGGCTCTTCTTCAAGAGTTGGAGTTGACACTTGGCTCCTCCTGAAAGGGTTACAAAGTGTGATTTAGATGCAAACAGGAGATCATGCTTCTGGTTCTGGGGAAGGGAGATGTGAGCAGGCTTTAATGCCCTAGATCCATGATGGCCTCTCATCCTGGCCTCCTCCAGAGCAGCCATAGTATGGAACTACCACTTGTTCTATGATCCACCAGCAGCAGAATTCTGAGCAACTAAAACAATAGCTGGTTGCTTTTTAAATCGTTTTTTTTTTTTTTTAAGGTTACATAAATTATATAGAGATATCTTAAATAGAAACTCATTTGCCACAGCATCTATAAACTATAGCCCTCTGATAACCATTTAGCCACTTCTAATACCCGTATAATATTTACTATCTTTGAAGGGCAGCATTCCACCACTGGTCCCATCGATTAACCAAAGGACAGAAAACAAACACATTTCCTCCATGTCACTGATTGGCAGCAGAAAGCAGGCTATAGGAGAAGCACACAGAAGCAAGAATGCAGGCAGTCTTTCTGGACTGTTGGTTTGGCTATAGCTGATGCTGTCCAATGTTCCCGAGATGGTTCCACAGGGACTTATGTTGCTCGCCACCCTCCTCTCTGGGCCCTCCTCTCCCTGCTCTGTGCTGCTGAGAGGGACACTCTGGGCCATTAGGACTGGTGGAGGTAAAAGGCTGGTGGTAACAAAACTCAAGATGGTAAAGGGAAGGTTAAAAAAAAGCAAATGTTAACTTGGCAGTTATCTAGGCACTGCAGATCATGTGAGAATATCTGAGCCGATTGTTGTAAAGGAAAGGATCATTATATCGAAGTGACCAGAGGTGCCTTTTGTATTCTAAAATGTGACACGTGATCTTCAATGTCAAAGATTTTGGATTTTATCTACGACTATTTTTAGCAGCTTATTCTAAAGCCAATTCAATGGAAAATAAATGCACAGCATGAATCTGCTAAAATTCTAAAAGCTGGATCCACAGAACAGGTTTTAATGCCAAAAATAACAATATAAATAGTAGTTGTTCATGTAACATTGATTGACTTCTCAGGAAGCACAGCTATGAGCAGTCAGTGACAAAGGTGTCCACGGACATTCTGTTCTAGAGAAGCAAGACTTCTTGGTTTACCTGTATCCGTCACAAGTGGGCATCTCACTCCTACACAGGTAACAAAATGTGATTATGTTTACACAGAGCCTTGATGAATGGAACAGCTCTCATGGACTATTTTACTATTTTCAACTAGACAATTAAAATAATCACAAGTAGTCTATTTTGAGAATCAATTTTCCCTTTTGTCCAAAAAACAAACAAAGAAAAGAGAAATCAAAAGTGAGAAAGAAAAGGAGGAATGGAGCCTTAGGGGCTGGGTCAAGCGGGACTTCAGGAGAGAGTGGGGTCACATGTAAGGTCTTCCCGAAACCAGAATCCTTAGGACCCTGAGCTGAGCCCACTTTTCCTGACTCCTCAAGATCGACTAGACTGCAAAGTTAAGAGTGGGCTAAATTAGATGCTTTGCTACTGGAATGAATGGGTTGGGGCCGGCCATTAGGACAATATTCAGTTGGCATCCCATTTCTTGCTTGAATTGGATCGTAATCTTATGTCCTCACAGCTTATCGACTATGGGAAGCTAGGAGACACCAACGAATGAGCCATGCGCATGGCTGACTTTTGGCTCACGGAGAAGGACTTGATCCCAAAGCTGTTTAAAGTGCTGGCCCCTCCATACCAAGGTCAGAATGGAGGCTACACAAGAATGGTGCAGATCCCAAACCGGAGTGAGCAAGATCGAGCCAAAATGGCAGTCATCGAGTATAAAGGGAACTGTCTTCCCCTCTGCCCTTGCCTCGCAGAGACAGCAACCGGACCCTCCTAAACCAGCTGCTGCTGGGGCTGCGGAGAGACCTCAGCCAGACGGAGAAAGCCAGCATCCACAACTCCCACACAACCCAAACTCCAGGAATTTAATACCAGAACTGCTGTGGCCTTCACCAGGGGCCATGGTCACAGTGTTTGGAGGTCTCTTCTGCTCTAGGAAGAACTGAAGGTATCGTTGTAAACTAGACAGTGTTACTGGAACCCAGAACCATCTGGGGAGCTAGCTGGCTCTACTTTTGCCCAACAGATCAAATGGTTCATATGATTGTGTAAATTTATTTTATTTTTTTCCCCCCTCGAAATTTCTGGTGAAATGAAGCCTATGCAGATGCTCAGTCTGTCTGGAA